GTGTAGTGGAAGGTGTCCCTGCCCATGGCAGGGGGGTTGGAACTGGATGGTCTTTGAGGTCCCTTCCAACCCAAACCATTCCATGATTCTATGTTCCCTGTAATCAGGCTGCAATGAAGGACCTTCTGGGCTGCAGAAGGGTGCTCTTCCTCACAAATGTGGTTGATGGTGGTGGAAAACCTCCGCTTCGATGCTAATCGAGAAAGAACTCTGTTCTCTTCTTTTCAGATCCTTGAGAGTCTTGTTCCTGCTCAGAAGAAAGCTGAGGCAGCACAAGCGGTATGATTCCTCTCCTTGGCTGTACAGCCAATTTAACCCAGACGTTTCTGTTGTCATTTGTGAGCTGTCACTATTTATTATTGCATTATGGGCTATCACTGATATTACTTTTGCTTCCGACAGTACACCTTCAGCTCTGAGTGAAAAGGAAGTGAAAGCCCAAGCGAAGACTGAAGTTTTGAGCATCCTCACAAACATGGCAGATCTCTCCAACGCAATCCATTGGCTGCCTCCGGGATTTCTTTGGGCTGGGCGGTTTCCTCCATGGTTGGTAGGTCTCCTGGGGACCATGACTTCCCTGAGTGGTATCTACCAAGCATCTAGAAGAGGAAACTCTGAGGCTGTATAAACCATAAATAAGCTTCAGAAGCCACATTTTTACATGGTAAAAATGCCTTTAGTGAGGCAGGATGTATTTTAATTTTCCTGGGTGTCCATGATTGTAATCCCATGCATCCTGTAACTGGGACCGTAGCCAAGATGTCTATTACCAAGAGGATTGTTTACAATTAACGATTTTTACCACTCTTCATCAGAGAAATCTTTCAGGTGAATCCTCTGAAAAATCAAGAAATCTCCTAGGACTGATAAAATAGAGAAGAAAAAAGTCACTTCCGTCCTTCCTCCCCATGCCCCAAAAGACAAATGCGCCCGTCCAGTCTTCGCTGTCACTTAAAAGAGCACAAAGTCAGCGTGAGGTGGAGAAACGGCCACGGTTCTGTCAGCCAAGACTTCTACGGGACGGATCCTGCGAGTTGGAGCTCCAGGCTCGGTGCTTGGTGCCCCATTGAACCAGGGAGGTGACCCATGTCGCAGGAGTTTCTGCCTCAGATGTTTTGTTGTCTGAGCCCAGGGCGGTTATTTCGTTTGTGACGGTTGTGTTTCCTTGGAGGCAGTGCCTGGTGAGGCTTTCTTCCAGTCTGCTGAGCTTGTTTAGGGAGAAATATTGGAAGTTGAGACGTCCAGAGGAGGCCACGAAGATGATCCAAGGTCTGGAGCATCTCTACTATGGAGACAGGCTGAGAGAGTTGGGACTGTTCAGCCTGGAGAAGAGAAGGTTCTGGGGTGATCTTATTGCAGCCTTCCAGTACTTAAAGGGGCTACAGGAAGGCTGGAAAGGGGCTTTTTCCAAGGGCGTGTAGTGGCAGGACAAGGGGAAATGGATTTAAACTGAAAGAGGAGAGATTTAGATTGGATATAAGAAATAAATTTTTCGCTCAGAGGGTGGTGAGGCACTGGCACAAGTTGCCCAGAGAAGCTGTGGCTGCCCCTTCCCTGGCAGTGTTCAAGGCCAGGTTGGATGAGGCTTTGGGCAACCTGGTGTAGTGGAGGGTGTCCCTGCCCATGGCAGGGGGTTTGGAACTGGATGGTCTTTGAGGTCCCTTCCAACCCAAACCATTCCATGATTCTCTGATTCCCGGGTAAACGAGGGGCAGCGCTGAGCCTCCAGCTGTGCCTTTACGGGATGCCACCGGGTGGAGCTCTTCCACCAGGCTCTGGCAGCAACCAGCAGCCTTTTTTTTAAAAAAAAAAAAAAGGCAGTTTTTTTAATCACCTTTCAAAGGACCAATCAAACCAATGCCAAGATGAGTTTTACAGTTATGTTTCAAGGCGGTGCCAATAAAATAATAAACGAGACGAATGCTTCAAAGGTGGCCTCGAGTGATTGTTACTCCTGACAACGGGGCAAACGTTCTTTATCTGGTTCTGGAAAGCTCCGAACAGCGCCTGGGCGACAGGAAACGTTTGTGCTGTGCTGGCTGCAGCTCCCCATCTGTTACCAGCCTTCCTTCTACCGAAATAATTCGGAGCACCTGACTAACTGTCATGGAAATGCATCTTTTGAAAACGGTTCTGCTTACTCTGCGCGGCGCTTGTGCTCCCTGTGGCGCAGACCCGGGATGTTTGAACTCTTTTTTTATGTTGTTGTTTTTGGCACGGACACAGGGAAGCCATCTCCTGCCAGTGTCCAAAGAGCAGAGCGAGGTCTTGGTACTCTTTATCCTTCGCCCTGTCCTCGTTGCTTACCTGGACCTTCACCCTGCCAAGTGCCTCAGAGGACGCCTTCCTGACTGTGCTCAGAATTTGCTGTCAGATTTACAGGTTTTGGTGCAACTCGGAGCGTAGGCAGGCGTTATCGGGAAGAGACTTGTTTTTTTCTCTAGTCAGGCTGCAGGTCTTGTGCCAACAGGCGGAGCAGCAGGGTCCTGCTGCTTCGGGGCAGCTGCAGCTCCTGCCCAGAGCTGCCACCAGCTGTGGTGGCTCCTGCTGCAGTTTGGTGATTTAATAAGAAATCACATTCTCTGTGTTCTTAACCTCATTAAACCATTCCTCCAGGACACGTTCCCCTGCTTAGCATGGGACAAGGGGTGGCTACAGCCATTTAAAAAACCCCAACCAAATCCATGTGCCTCCAACGCCAAATTAGTAAAACTCCAAACCACGCTTTTTGGTTTAACATAGAGAAAGGACGCAGTAAACCGGTCTAAGCGTGTTTGCTTCGTCCGCTTCCCGATGAAGTCATCTTAAATTGCAGCTGGTGAAGCGCAGGACAAACTGAAATGTGCAATGATAAAGCAAAATCTGGGAATTCAGAATTTCTGAAATTCTTATTTTCTGTA